TTTTCTGGCCTGACTACAAAAATGGGTTTCTTTTGAAGATCTTCCAAGCCAAAGAGACATCAATCGCACCCCCCAAGGGTCACACTTGTCTCACACACAAAACAAAATCCTACCCCGAAACAGGAATCCGTAAAATTGCCTGAAAAATGGGCAGAAGTCGTCAATAATAATGGAAATTATTTGAATGGATTGATGGTTTATGTTCAATAAATTTTAGTACAAAATCCCGCAGTTTGTTCTTCCGCCAACCCAGTAGATGGTGAGGCCTTGACGCGTCGGAAACTCAAAGGTTCAATCGAAGCTATTAGGTTAGTGGGTATGACTGGGACGTTATTTAAAATGAAATGTTTTTTCAGTTAACAACTCTTCAAATCATGCGAGATATTTGCCATTATTTTGTATAATTTTTGCCCATTTTACTGGCGAGAAGTCAAATGCTTCTCTCGTAGAGAGTCTTCGGTTTTGACGCAAACCAATCTATCAGCCATTTTTTTGACCTCTTCTTCGGCGTTAAAATATTGGTTACTTCGATATTCATACTCATTTTCAAATCACATCTCCGACATATGTTCATCTTTCTTATCATTATTTGATCCTCAAACTTTCAGGCAATTCCTGGAGGTGACATCTAACTAGGGAACGACTAGATTTCGCAAGCTATATGACTTACGCAAGGTCGAACACTGGCAACACGATGGTGCTTCTAGTTTTTTTCCCTTCACGCTCTAGATTTTTGTAAAAACGCATTTTGGAGAATTCGACCCCTTAGTGTACTGGTGACTTATTTGTTTATAGGGGCTACCAGCGCTCATTTTTCAGGTACCTCCTCCGGTGACTTTTGCACTTTAATCTAGAACACCAATTTGTTATCACTTTTCCAGGAGTGCGTCCGTTTTGTGGCTTTTATTTACCCAGCTTCGAGATTTTCGGCAAATGCTTCAAATATTCAGTTTACTGAGTTTCAGCTTCTCCAGTTTTCAAAAAGCTTCCTTATTTTCCTTCAAAATTATCTAGAAAACCTAAAAACAAAACTGCAAAAATACCGACGAAATTCTTCTTGAGGTGGGAAATGTGGTTCTGAAATGTAAGCAAACAAATTTTCAGGGCTTTTCAAAGTAACTTTATATTCAGAATCCAAATGAGTGAATTTATTTTGGGGTTAAGATTTGATCTTTTAATTCGATCCCAACAATCACAAACTTATTTTGGTGTGTTACTCAACGACATCCTCAATATCATCTATGCCAATTCAAATCCAAATCAAATATTGGAAGGATTGTCACGACAAAAATGGCTGTTTTCTTCACGATATGAAGCTAGCGATAAAATCGATGAAAACGCAGATAAAGCTTTGAAAAACGACTAAAACAGAAATAAACTGTGCTGCATTAGTTCTTTCAAAATATTGCCCTTGCCTTTTCGTCAAAAAAAATAAGTGTACAGAGAAATGCGCTTTCATCTTTTCATTTTCGGAGTTTTCTGCTTTGGCTCAATCAGCTCACTTCAACTCAATTTCGATCATTTTTGCGCCATCGCGGCGGTTTGTTTGCAAAGATTTATAAAGAATGATTAACTTTGAACATTAACGTAATTCTGATCCTGCTGAACTTTGAAAAACTCTAATTTGAACGTCAAAGCATATGCCCGTGGACTTTGAAAGTAAAATTTTGAGTTAAAAAAGAGTTCTTTTTACTTGTTTTCTTTTGCTTTTTTAGCTTTAGCTTTTGCTTTTAGCTTTTTCTTTATATTTTTTATTCAATATTTTGCCTCTTCCATGTTTTACTTATTCCCAAATTAGCTCAAGTTCAAAACCTGTTGACACTTTCGGTTCTAATGCAATTTTAGACAATAATTTAATTAACAAAACAGAATCAGAGATTTAAATGTTAGAGAATTTAAAAATGTTATAGCAAAACAAATAGAACTCCAAAACAAAACAATAAAAATAATCAATAAAATTTTCGATTTGAATTTGATTTTTACACATCATAAAGCTTTACATTTTGAACTTACACATTTTGAACAACTCACTTACCAACTAGAATTGTACAATCGTATCATTGAAAAAAATAGATGCAAAGTGATGAGCAGAATGAAATTTTTTTACTTTTTAGTTTGGCAAATCTTTTTTCATTTCAAAAGTTTTATACGAAATCAAGAAATGAGTCTTTTTCGATTCGTTATCGTTTTGGTTGTGTCGAATCTCTGGACGAGCAACGTGGGAAGGGCAAGTCAGCTCACTTTTGAGCAATTCTGTGCTATTTCGGCGGTGAGTTTTAATCACTAAAACTCACTCAAAAAAATGCAAAACAATCATCTAAATACTTGGGCACCTAAAATACTTCCCAAATTCTTAAAGCCAAAGAATTAAATCAAGATCAGGAATTCGTTACATGCAACTTCTTTTGCTCATTGACTAAATTCCAATGAAATTGCATATTTATTATCATAGGTAGCGAAAAGCTTTCAGAATTACTCCCCCTTCACACCTTCAGATTCGATCTTTTTTGATATCTTTTGGAACCTTCTTTTAATCAATCAAAAACTAAAAGCCATATAAAAGCCATAAGTTTGAAATTGAGCTAGATCCAGAGTCAATCAAGTCAATCAAGAAAACGCAGTCTACTTTTAGATGCTATTTAAACTTTAGTGTAATCTAGATGATGGTGAGAGGCTTTGTTTCCCATACATTGATGAAAAACTCAGATGGATTGATCAAAGAATGATTGATGGTTTCTTCATCATGGATGCCTCCAGAACGGGATTTATGGAGTCGCTGACGCTCCTTACGGTTAAAAAGAATTCTAGATGTTGACATCCTTTTAGGAGGAAAGTTTTTTATCTTCTTTGCTTCGACAAAAGAAAGATAAAATTGCGAAAAATGGCGGAATTGCTGAAACAAGACGGGACTGATAAAGAAGTGGTGAATTATTTGGCGAGTCTCACGCCTTATGCTGGGAAAAGGTGAGAATGGTTGTCATGATAAAGAAAAGTATACTTGTCATGGTGTTTAAAATTTAGCAAGTAGATATAGTTCTTAACCATAAAGATTATCATTGATAATCTTTAAGGTCGAACTTGACGCTGATCTGCCTCTGATCTTGATCTGGCCCTGATCAGACCTGACTTGACTTACAGACCCATAAACCGACTATAGTGGAAAAAAAGAGAAAATCGAATGCATGTTTCCATGTTAACTCGTAGAAAGTTTCAATTTTATGATCAAAATCTCATGGTGGTGGCAGCGATGGTGGCTCAGAAATTTCATGTATTGGGAGTCATGAAATCGAGAAAAGTGGAAAGAATATCAAAAATTATAGAAAATATTCACTTTGGCGACCACAACAATCACCAGAAGCCACTAGAAATTCTGAGAAAAATCGCGCTTAACTGACTTTGTTTTGAAAAGTTTTTGCAAGTTTTGTGAAAATTCGTAAATTTGGCATTTCTTGAAAACCAGTTTTTGAATCGTTCTGAAGATTTGAATATAAGCTTAATTTTTGATTCTCTACAACTTTTCTATGGACACCAAAATGGGTTTTTTGAAGAAAGTGCTCAAACTGTCACATATGACAATAGCCGGCAGTTTTCAATTCACCAACGCAATACAAGGAACATTACTGATCAAAGTAGGTTTTTCAGGCAAAATATTGTATTTTTCCAATAAACGGATTGATTCTTTTGTTATTCTTTACCCATTTTAATGCAATTTTTGTTTTTAATACCATTTTAGTCTCAAGAAGCGCTTAAGGCAAGGCAAGTGCTGATCCAAATTCATGGTGAAGCAAGAAATTCTTGGAGTAAAACCACGGAAAGAGGTAACTCCTGTTATATGTTTTATCTCTTTTTACTACCATAACATTACTAGATACCTAGGATAAAAGAAACTAGTATTTTCTAGAAAGATAACTAATATTAAGGATTATCCCTTACTATGGAAGGTCACTTGACTTAAGATGGGATTTCAAACGAGACCTAGCCTATCTTGTTCAGTTTTTCACGGGGATTCCGAATTCGCTTTTAGTTTTTCTAAATAGCTAGCAAACGCAAGGAATTCCGTAAAAACTTTGTATGCATCTGCTTATACGACCGCGACAGACTAAAAGCATCACTGGTTGACCAGTGGTAAGTTGTTGGACTGTTAAGTCAAGCCAGCAAGGTTCGGCTCCAATGAATGAACTTTCTTTTGCATTCATCCCACTCTGGGAAACCCTGGCCCAGCCCCAATTGTCCTCTTTTCTATTTTTGGCTTAAAGCTTTTAATTTGAAGAGATTTTATGAGTGTTTTGCGCCAGTTTGGCTGTATTGTTTTTATACCTTCGTAATTGTTTTTTTCCCTCCTTTCCGAGTTGTCGCATTTGCTATTTCTCTTCTTCTTGTTCACGTTGAATTTCCGCCGTGAGATTGATATTGGCGTTCGTTGCCTACTGTAGTATTGACGTCAATAGGATTCGGATTGTAAAAAACAATTCTGGGGCAGAAAAGAGCAATCTATTTTCTGTTTGCCAGTGTTCGATGGCCTTTCTGAAGGACTTTCTCCTCAATATGCCTAGATTTAAACCAAAAATAAGTGCAATCCAACAACCATTTCGATGGCAACAATTAGCATTAATTGCAACTTTTTACACCTTCTAAATGGTTTATTTCATTCTAGAACATAACTTCCAATGATGTTTAAATGTTTATTATCGAACATTTAAACATTTAAAACATTAACAAACTACGATATTATAAATCTAGCAAATAAATTAAAGATAAACAACTTTAAGGGGGTATTTATAGAAATAGATAGAAAAGATAGAAATAGAAATAGAGAGATAGAAAAGTTAATAATATAGAAATGTGGATCTTAAATCTAAATATAAGTAAAAGATAGTGATACTCATTGGGTTTGTTATTATTTTGGTTAGTTCTTCCATTAGAACTAGTTAAATTCATAATACATTTGAAATAGATTAACATAAAACTAGCCGTATATTGAGCGGTTCTGGAAGACACTAGTAGCATGTGCACACCTTGGCATTGCGTGTAAGCCCGAAGCAACGTTCAGTGGCTTTTGAACAATAAGCACCTCTGCGGCCTGAGACGATCGATTATTGATAATCTTTTTAAACATAAATTTAATTACAATCGAATCACTATACAGTGAATTTTTGCGCTGTAGTGAATGGAATTTCCAGTCTATTATATTGCGCTATACGATTAATCGCGCACAGCTCTAATTCTTGATTCAAAACTATTTATCTAAATGGAAATCCTCTTTTTTTACAATTTTACAAATTTTTCTCCATTTTTTGGCTTAGAGATAAAATTTTAACGTACCTTTTCGGCGACATTCACCACCGTACTTTTCTTCGCAAGTATCGTAACCAACTGAACCCCAAAACCCTTCATTATCACAGCGACTTCCCGTGAAATAGTTCCAACAACCACGCTTGACTCGTCTGGTCTGAGCAAAAACCGCATTTTCAAATTTAGACGGTCCAACTTAAATTAAGCGGATAAAATTTTGTTTTAAAGGAGATTATTACCTGAAGTGAAATGATCGTCCTTTGTGGCGTATGCACTCAAAACAGTGGCAACAAGGCAAACCAACAAGAAAACTGTGTGAGACTTCATCTTTAAAGGATTTTTGAATAGTGATTTGAACTAAAAAAGTTAATATTTAATCTGCTGAATAGCAGAAAAAGGTCGAAGCCAACCATGGACTGATTTCAATTTAAAAAAATGGCTGACTTTATAGTTTTTGGATGGAAGGGAAGTGGCTGTTCAAATGAGACGTATACGACTGTTCATCAATTGCAGAGTCACTTGACATTTGAAAAAAGGCTTTGATAAGATGCGACAGCTGTTCATCACTTGCAGAATCACTATAGTTACTATAGTGACTATAGAGGCTATACTATCAAAATACTATAGTTTCTTTCATTCTAGGCATCTAGTAATGTTCTGGTAGTAAAAGAGATCAAACATATAGCAGGAGTTACCCTCTCACTTTCCGTGGTTTTACTTCAAGAATTTCTTGCTTCACCATGAATTTTGATCAGCACTTGCCTTGCCTTGAGCGCTTCTTGAAACTAAAATGGTATTAAAAACAAAAATTGTATTAAAATGGGTAAAGAATAGCAAAAGAATCAATCCGTTTATTCTAAAAATACAATATTTTGACTCAAAAACCTAGTTTGATCAGTAATGTTCCTTGTACATTTTTGCCAGCATATCTCTTCCCTTGTGACAACCAGATTTTACCTTAATATCAGCGTAAGCGAAACGAGAGATTTCAGTAAATTGAAAAGAGGAGACTTTGACCATTTGTAGAAGGCATCGGAGAAAGCTTTTCTGAAAATTCATAAACAATAAGTACTAATAAACCAAATTTATTTAAATGATAGGATTTTGGAAGAAAGATCCCCTTAGTTACTCATTTTCAAATCTTAAATTGCTTTTTGGTTCTACCATCTAGAATATCGTACTTTTGAGTAAAAAAAATTCAAAGTTCCGAAGTTCTAATGTCAACAATTAAATTTAAAGTTTAAATAAGCTGATAACTTTAAAAGTTGATCGACAATCGGCTATCAAATGAAATCAATGTCGATCAACTTTTCAAATGTTCTTTAGGTCTGTTGTGACGATCTCCTTTCTTTTATTCTCCATCTCACCACCACAACTCTACTCCATAACTCTACAACAACAGTAACACCACTACTGCTTCTGCCTCGCGGGAAGTGTCGTGACGATCTCGTCATCGAGATCACGAAGGATGGAAATGGCCAGCCAGACACCTTTGTGGGCGAACGCGTATTGTGCAAGATTTAATATGCGTCGCTATCCGTTCAACTCCATTGTGTGCAAGACGAGACCAACGCCAAAGTTCTGTATAAAAGCAATGTAAACGAGCTGCCGAGGTGTACCGTAGAGTCGCCTCTACTCTCCCAATCCCAAACCACTGAACCAGCTATTATTGCTGTAATAAAGATTATATCTAAACCAACAATAATCGCTACAGGGGCACAATTACACAGCATGCTGTGCTTTAAGTGCTGCAGCACTTAAAGGACTTTGAGCCGAACTATTCAGCTTAACTTTTAAAGATATATGTTTGTTTTTGTTTTTGTTTTTGTGCAACAAGAAACTAGAATAAAGTTAATCTCATCTCACACAAAAATACTGAATCTTTGTGCCTTTACTGACCTAACCCGATCTTCTGTTAGAGAACTCGGAAACGAATCGATGGCCCAAGTCAGCTCATAACTTTTCCAAATTCGAAGATTCCCATTTCTCGATACTAATGGATAAGCTGAACCTTTAAGTGAATTTTAAAGATCAATTTTAAAACAACCTTGCATCCATGAGAGCAGAAAAAGAAAGAAGAAAGAAAGTAAACGAAGCATAAGTTCAGAAAACAAAGGTCAAGTTGACTTCTTATATTCAAGAACTGGAGCACTTTTATCTTTTTTTGGAAATGAAAGTTTTCAAGGAAATCATCTTCAGCATTTTTTTTTGGATTCTGCCATATGACTTTAACAAAAAAAAAGCAAAAAAGATAAGAGGTGACCCATAGGGAACAAAAAAAGCTGGAAATCTGATTCTATGATTTAAATTTTTTAAAAGAAAAGAACAACTTTGGGTCGGGTGTTAATTATTTTCTTAGGAACCAAAATTATCAAAAGTTTAGCATTCAAAAGCACTAGAAAAGGTATTCTCTATTACAGGTATTCCAAATTCGAAGATTGCCATAAAGAATTTTTGATTCAACCATTAAGCGGAACCTTTAAGTGAAGTTTAAGTGACCTTTTCTCTATTATAGGCACTAGAATCGGTTTAGAATACCTTGATCATTTCAAATGATCGAAAAAATCAGAAACAAAACGGTTAGCACACAATGGGACGAGTTACAGAAAGGATGAAACGCTTTGCGGAACTTTTATGAATTTCTAACCGTTTTTTTAGATCCTTTTTTAATTTTATACACAAAAGTGAGGTAAAATATCACTTAATATTTTCTTGTTTTCAGAGCGCCAAGAATTTTGCTCTATTTAGAAAACACTCTATTCAGAATGCCCTAATCATTTCAGATGAACACCGGAAACAAAACGGCCAGCACACAATGGGACCACTTCCCAACGGATGCAACGCTTTGTGGAGCAATTTGTAAAGTTCTAACAGTTTGTTTTAAGATTTTGTAATCATTTTATACATAAAGTATTGAGGTAAAATATCGCTGAACATTTTCTAATCAATTTTCAAAATCATAATAATCTATATCGATATCAATTTTCGTGTTTTCAGAGCACCAGTGGATGAGGATGGGGCAACAAGCTCCGTGTTTTCTGGAATGAGACAAAGTTTCCATTGAGCTAAGCCTAAGCCAGCGTCAAAATTGAGTTCAACATACACGCTTGCTGTTAAGTGAGTCAAAATTGAAGTTTTTTACAATTAGAGCTTAAGCCAGATTAAACATACACAATTGTTTTTTCACCGCTCTTTTTTTAAATCGATTAGTAGGGAAATTTTATCGTATAAGGATCAAGCTGTACATAAACTGTGGAAACTGTAAAGTTTGAACAGAGCTGTTATCTATTTTATACATTTTTACATCAACTCTATAGACGCGGCTTGTTGCCCAGCCAGTTTTCTGAATGAGACAAAGCTATATCACATTGATTTCTTTGAGCCTAAGCCAGAGTCAAAATTGAGTCAACATACCACGATTGCTGTTAAATGAATCAAAATTGAAGTTTTCTTACAATTAGAGCCTAAGCCAGGGTAAGCATACACAATTTTTTTTTCACCAATGTTTTTTTTGAATCGGTTAGTAGGAAAAGTTTATGATATAAGGATCAAGCCGTATATAAACTGAAAATGTAAATGAAAAACCTGTTGTCTATTTACATATTTCACTTAAACTCTACAGACTTATTGTAATAATAAGTTGAATTTTTCATTTCTCCTGTCTTTGTCATGGTATCCTCCACCAGCCAGTTGGATTCTCAAATTCTTTTGCCAAGAGCTTGTCTCTGAAACTTTGAACTTTGTCTTTGAATGCTAAATGTTTTTGCTTTTTATAGAGTCAAAAAGGTCATTCCCAGAAACATTCAAAAGAACATTCCCTTTCTTTGAAATTTCTCTAAAACCGATCGACTTAATACGCTTTTTCTGGGAATTTGAAAGATATTTGCTCTTTTCTCTAAAAGATATTGGCTTTACAGTGCATTTTCTTGCAACAGTGATTGAGAAATCATAGTGTTAAATTTCTATGGTAAATTTTGCAAACACTGTTGCAAGATGGTGGTGACATCGAGGGCTTCATATCTTCTCAACAACAGTCTTTATCCACTCCACATTCAACAAAAATAGTTACACGGTGAATGCGGCTGGCTGTCACATTTGGAAATCCAGGGTTTTCAAAAAAAAATCAGTGAAGCGCTAATTTTATAGACAAAGTAGTGAGGTAAAATATCACTTATTCCCATTTTTGATACAAACGGATAAGCTGAACCTTTAAGTGAAGCTTAAGTGAAGTTTAAGTGAAGTTTAAGTGTCTTTAAGTGACCCTGTTCTCTATTACAGGCACTAGAATCGGTGTAGAATACCTTGATCATTTCGAATGATCAGAAAAATCAGAAACAAAACGGTCAGCACACAATCGGACGAGTTACGAAAGGATGAAACGCTTTGCGAAACTTTTATGAATTTCTAACAGTTTTTTAGATTCTTATTAATTTTATACACAAAGTGAGGTAAAATATCACTTAATATTTTCTTGTTTTCAGAGCGCCAAGGATTTTGCTCGCGAGGAACACACTCTATTTAGAATACCCGGACCATTTCAGATGAACACCGGAAGCAAAACGGCCAGCACACAATGGGACGACTTGCCAACGGATGAAACGTTTTGTCGAGCAATTTTGTAAAGTTCTAAAAGTTTGTTTTGAGTTTTTGGTGCTCACTCAACTCTCAACGTTTGCGCTCAGTTGTTTCCAGGCTTTTGGGATAACAACATTTGGCCTTCAAATTCGCCAGATCTTAATCCCCTCGATTACACCGTTTGGGCTATTTTTGGAAGGCAAGATCTCGATGAAGACGTATCAAACAGTGGATGCTTTAAAATCTGCTCTGAAACGAGTCTGGGATGAAACAACTGTTTAAGCGTGCGCCACCATCGTGAGGAACTTCCCAAAGCGTTTAAAGAGGTGTATCGAGCGGATGGTGAAATTTCGAGCATTTGTTAGAAGTTATTTGTTGTTATGATTCGAATAAAGAGTTTGTTATTAATTTTTAACTTTTTAAAGCTAGTTTTTAAACCCTTAACTATCTTAAGAAGGGCTCCGAACTTTCCGCACCCTGTATTTAAATACCCTGATCATTTCAGATGAACACCGGAAGCAAAACGGCCAGCACACAATGGGACGACTTGCCAACGGATGAAACCTTTGTCGAGCAATTTGTAAAGTTTTAACAGTTTGTTTTGAGTTTTTATTCATTTTATACATAAAGTATTGAGGTAAAATATCGCTGAACATTTTCTAATCAATTTTCAAAATCATAATAATCTATATCAATATTAATTTTCTTGTTTTCAGAGCACCAGTGGATAAGGATGGGGCAACAAGCCGCGC